AAAGAGGCGCCCCGATGCCGCCGCTGTAATTGGCCCTGCTATTATTAACGTCGCGGTGCGCCACTTATTTTAATGGACTCCCGGTACTCGTAGGCGCGAGTCGCGCAAATCTGAACCTCTGCATCCCTCTTCGATCTCCAATCTTCCTTCCATCGAGCGGAGATCCGCGCCAATTGTCACCTCCGATACGTTCATTTGCCTAAGTGCCTAACAGTGTCACGCATGGGTTCTATCCGCGTGTATCGTGGAACCTCGGGTAAGAGTAGCTATCTTCGCCCCTCTGTCCCTTTAATAGACTTTCAATTTTAATCACATATGCGATGGTCTTCTTACTCTTAGGGAAGTAAGACTGTTAGCTTTTTTTCTCTTTGAAGTTCATTTTAGTCATCCGAAGATGGATGCTGTGAACTAGAATTCTGGAATAGTATTCGAAGGAGGATTGTACAAAGAGGCCAAGTTTATGGGTCCTTCGGCATCTAAGATATTAAGCAGATATTATTCTATGCGAACCAAGAAATTAGGAATGCGTAATTGTTTACCGCGAATGTGATGGGAAAGTGGTAAAAAAAATTGATGAAGTGGAAGGTGTATGGACTGTCGATTCTTCTGTAAAATGACATTTTATGAAGTCATTGATAAAGACATGAGCTAATGTAAGAATTTGTTTCCATAATCCTTAACTGGTGAGGTGGAAATCTTACTTATTACACAATTAGTTGCTTCGCATTCTCGTGTAAGAAAGCATCGAAGGAAACAAACATAATATAGAATAAAAACAATATATATATATAATACAAATATTGATGGGATTCCTCGGACCTCACCTTACCAGTTTAGGCACATTTAATGAAGATTCATTTCTTATTGTATTTCACAAAGCCCCATAGACTATAAATGTATAAAATCCAGTCTACCGATGACCTGCTTACAATTCACCATGACACATGCCTTGTGTGTGTTTACTCATCTGGTGTAGTAAAATGATTCAGAATTGCTGACATATTTTATTCCTTGAAATGCTAGGAAAACGAAAAGTAGGTATTCTGTATTGTCCATAATATAGTGAGTAACTCCTGTATTTTATTTGATGAAGTTCCTACGTTTAGACGAAGGTTACGAGTCAAGGGGTCTTGAGAATCCTCTTAGAAGTGATACTGATCACGTGGGAATTTAATCGACCGTGTTTCTCGCCCGCGAATACGTCGTGATAGGCTCGAGAAGATCAAGTAGGGCGACCAATAGTTTGCTCATTTCGTGAAGTAGTCGGATCCTTGGGTGGCAGGTGGCCGAATGCCGATATCCTTCGAACGATTCCACGCGACCGCAAGCGATCTCGCCTGGGTGTTCCCGGAATTCCATTCGGCGGTCGCATTCTGGACGTCCTGCGGGAAAGTGCTGGGTCGCATCCCCGACGCCTAAATCAATTAAATATCTCGCAGTGTTAACCTTTCTCTGGATCGTGCCTATATTGCATAGTTCTCGCCCTGTTCCCGAGGCAACTGCCGTGCAATACCGCCAGCTTCCCACAGACCGAGCCGAAATAAAGGAAATGACCGACGCTGAATGGGGGATTTCAACGATTTTTGCATCGAACAATTTTAATCCTTTCGCAATATAATTGATTGTTTATCATTTAATAACTAGCTCGTTATGATCGTCAATCGATACGTACTTGATTTACTTACCTGGTCAAATTAATTATTCAACGCGGTCTTTTAATAAAATACGCAAAACACAGGAAATATAAGCGAAAGGCCATTTTCAATTCGTCGACGGTGTTACGGGCGACATTATCAAAATTTATAGACAATTTCTAATTTCCCCGTGAATTTATAGCACGCATTGTCGATCGATAATAATCTCCGTTCAACATTGCCGGATGATTAATATTCATTTACGCTCGTTGACTGAACGACCTTTTATAATACGGTCTGTTCTCGCGGAGGATAACATAGGTCCCCGACGGTGGAAAATTTCGATGAACCTCGCCGATTGTTCCCGATGTCGTTCGACTCTGAAATTTTGAATCGTTCCAATTAACGCGATTTGTGGTCTTGATGTTTGGCTAGGTGAAATCGCGTAATCGATGATCGATTCGATGGCATCGGTTGGCTGAAAAAAAGAGTGGCGTGTAATGGTATTCGCAAAGCGATTCCGAAAACGGTGTCACAGAGACGCTTTGTGCCGATACACCGACGAAACGAACTCATATTGTTCCGTAAACCAGTGTTCGCGCGCTTTATTCGCGACCACGCGACGACGGAACTTCGTGCATTGTTAGCGTTATCGTGTGCACGCACAAATGGCGCCGCAGGAACTTCGCTGGAACGCTGCGCGACGGATTATTATCGGGTCCGGGTCTCTCACCTTCTCCTCCTGCGTTTGTCGATTGCGCGCAATTAAAGATTGCGATGTGCCTGAAATGATTATTGGGTCATCGAGCAGTTCCTCCCCTCGTACACCTCGTCGATCGTTGTTTCCCAGTTATCGAGAACAGTTGAATTTACGGGGTACCACTCGGTTTCGTGCGGAAACGAAGTAACTCCCTGCCTTTCATGGACTCCATTATCAACCAGGAGTAAAATATCCCCGCGTTCGCGTACGAGCTGATGTGAATTCGGCGCCCGTAAATTTTCCGTAACATCATATTCACGACGATACTAAATCCATAGGCGGGGCATAAAATGCTACGGGAGAATGCTCGGGAACCAACGACTTATGAATCATTCATGATGTCGGTTTTGTGCCGCACTGCTTCTCTCGATGTTCACGATTATCGCGTATTATGTTTGACGCGTCATAGAAGTACCCGGAATCAAATGCAAAGCAGAGAAGCCAAGTTTAAACAAGAAATAGGAATAGTGCCGATCCAAGTTCAATTGAGCCAAATCGGATAATCTCAGATGCGTAAAATTAAAACTGAATCGACTCGGGACACAGATATTCGAATTGGACGAGTTAGTATCGAGAAACTGGAATCGAATCGACCTAGAACTGGAAGATTTAAATCGAACCTACTCAGAATTGGCCGATTAAGACCGATAGATGTAAACAGGTCTCATTCTGAGCGAGGAAACTCGGGTTGGATTATTCTAAAATCAAAAGACACAAATAGGATTCATTGAGTGCCAGTAAACTGAAATTGAATCAGTTGAGGAACAAAATACTCAAATTGCAGCAATCTAGATTTAAAACACCCCATCTCAAGAACCCTCGGGTTCAAGGACCCAGGTTTAAGGAAACCTGCACCCAGAGATGCAATGTTATGGTGACAAAAACCTGAATATCCCCGGACCAAAAGACCCAGATGTTGGATATGAATTAGAATCTGGGGAGTCTTCAGCTTGAGTCCTTGAGGCCCGGGGGTCCTGGTCTTGAGTCCTTGGGTCCGGAGGTGTCTTGGACTTAGGTTCTAGGATCTAGAGGGTCTTATAGCTGGCTATCATGCTTGTCGTAATATGGTTAGCTAAACAACAAACATAATATTAGTCATTCGGAAACTTTACCACCAACGACCTTGATTAAAATGTAATATTAATTATCATCAGAATATACGGTAACCAAACCCGTGAATATCTCTGTGATATCGAAAAAGCGTTGTACCTATCGTATGAATGCAACTGAATCCTATATTTAATCTCTGTTGGTCTATGGTTAATCATGCGTTTTTAACCGAGTAATCTGCGAGTACACGCACGAACATCGGACCTCTTCTATTCGGCGTCAGTCGGCCGTGTAAACAGCTCATTTAATCGTTACTCGTCCTCGACGTCTGGAGTCGTGAAACGCGGCGTGATATTGCTCATTAAAGGGAACGCTGGCGGTGGAGCTGGTGGGACATCCTGAACGACACGGTCGACTGTCACTAGACACACCTGTCAGGCCAGAATCAAGTCGTTTGTTACGTTAATTGCTCTCTCGTGTCGCGTGTATTACCGCGACGATCTTTCACGGTTTACTCCCGTTCTTCGCTTCGCTGGCCCATGAACTTCCATGCCCTCGTACCCGCGGCCTTTGTAAACCAACTGTATATTCGACGGAGTTGATCGATCGGCGGATAATTAACGCTGCTCGTGCCCGCTTCGGGTTGAAGTTGCCATGAAACCATAACGGAGATTATTATTATTGTATAATATGTTAAGAGGGAAGTGTGGTAAATGGATGTTGTTAGAGTGATCGAGATGTTAAAAATTTACTTACCGTTTTTATTACCACACTACATTCTTGACTTATAGTTTCTGCGTAAATTATAACAACAAAAAAATAAAGAACCAACAGATTCATTTTTTTACGCTATTGAGCAATACACGACTGAACTGTGACACTATCTTTGATGGCCTTGTATATTGTTACAACGGAGCTTGATGTCAATCATAGTGAAAGCTTCAATCGATTGGTAGAATAAGGGTTCCGTAATACAAACAACAGCGATAAAACCAGACACGTTAAAATGAACTGGTTTGCTTCCTATCGTATTCTCGCATCCAGAAAGCTGTAAAGCAGAAAACGATCGGGCAGAGTTGATCCCCCGAGGAACGATTCACCGAAGAGAATTATGACATATCGCCTTGTTTCCCTGGTAAACTTAACACTCTCCAAGTTAGAATCAGATCATTTCATTAGCTTGCTCGGGTATTGAAACTTTCGAACATGTTCGATATCCCTCTAAGAACATTGAAACTTGTCTTGCTTCGAATCAGTCCAACTTACAATTAGATGTAAAATGTATGTTATTCGACGATCGATACGTTAGAGTACAAACACCAGTAGAATAGAAATCGAGAAAAATACTAAAATTGTTCTTCGAGTAAAATACTAAAATCGTTCCATCATTCGAACCGTATTGTAATACCTGAATACTTTCGGAAATTGAGGGCCTGCTCTATTAATATGATTGGACAATTTTCATATTTTATCTATTTCTATTTATTACATTCACGTTTACAATCACCTTACACAATACACACAGTGGTCTAAATTCAGCACGAGATATTGGTGATTTATTTACCCTTGGAGACGCAGTTCTTCGTGTCCTTCAATATCTGCTGCAGGTCCTTCAATACCTCGACTTGAGCGTCCGCGTGGCATTGCGCAGCCTCCTTCAATTGCTCCGCGGTGGAGAGCTCCGCATTTTTCACGGTGACCGTCAACCCCTCCGCGATTTCCTTTCGTTGTCGAGCGGCTTCCTTTGTTCTGCTCGCCACGCATTTGATGAACTCGTCGGTGTCCAGGCATTCCTTCAGGATCCGTTTCATCGAGACCCTCATGTTCTCCGCTGTTTCTATCTCCTGGTCGTACTTTGTCTTCGCGGCACGAAGCCCTAACGCAGCCTTGTCGTTGCAGATTTTTATTTTGCGTTCATAGGACTTTTGGACGGCCTGTAGACGGTCTGTCTGCTTCTTCGAGCATACCTGCAATAATTTATTTCAGCCCCCTCGTCGACTGGTATCAGTTAACATGCTCGACATTCTTACATGATGAAGTCTGAGCGGAAATTCTATGGAATCGCGGCTTAATGCGAGCCGAAAGAAACTAACACATGAACTGGATTTACGTAAACCTATGCATGAACTGTGAGGAATGAAAATTAATTCTATAACGGCAGGAGTGTCAGTGCTTTAACTTATTTTTTTAGATAATACGGTAACTCAACGGTATAGTGTTCGAAAGATCCTCGGTACTGGCAAGGAGTGGCCCTCAGGTGTAACGCTGACGTTTTAATGACGTTTAGTACAATGATAGAGACTGGAATTCTGAAACCAATGATATTTGTTTCAGCTGTATATGACCATTATTATGAAATATTTAATGTTCAGTGTCGAGGAGCCGTCGAACACTCATCGAGGCTTTACTGTGGGCCACTTCGATGATGGAGGATTAGAATGATTGTTATTTTATACGTAATATAGGATGTTTGGAAATTTTCAATGATGAGATATCTCAACGTTATTCAGCTAAACTATTGACAGCGACAGAACTGGAAGGATGATTCTTTCGTGAGGGGCAGGTGAGAGTTAAGATAGAAACATATTAAGATCATATCATGTGAAATCACACGCTATTACAGGATTTCACGCGACATTCGTAGAGTTGTATACAACGTGATATCATGTGATTTCACGTGACGTGATATTAAGGGGTTTCCACATTTAATGGCGCCCATGTTTATTGTTATGGATTCCTTGACATCAGTGGCGGAGTGAGGGAAGCGTTATGTAAGGGAGGGGGGAACTGATGAATGGGGTTCGGACAGAATCGGGGTAAACTGTGTTAGTATGTGCTACGCTACGAACATAGTAGTGTGCTGTATAAATAGACAGATACGCGAGTGTTATATTACATGGTGATAATAAAAACATTAAGACTGAATACAACGAAGACACCATAAAGAACAACCGGTATGTCAATACTGACGTTTAATAAAAAGTGATTAAATAACTATTGAATTTAGAAACTAGATATAAATTAAAAATTAAATATGAAATTTATTTCATTCAGCTTTATAAATTCTGTTTTACTCGCTTTCATGTTTGAGTCACTTATATTGTCTCTAGGCTGTGTCGACGAGCATTCTGAGAAGTTACTATCAAATCAAGTTATAGTACAAATTCATTTAGGACAGATGGATTCGCGAGTTCTTAAATTGATAAATATTAAGGTTCCTCGTTACCGAAAGAACAATGGAATACCTCGGTCGTTCCCTGAATAGCTTTCTGAACTCTTTGCATTTCCTCCGCCACGAATTTCTCGTTCTTCTTCACTATCTCGTTCAGTTCCTTTCCAGTTTTCGTAAACAGTTCCTCGAGCTCTTTTATCCTCCGGTCGATATCCATTCTCGTTCTTCGCAGGATGTAATGAAACGCTTCGACGAAACTTTTTCTTGGGTCCCTCCGCTGTTCTCGTAGCTTCAAATTCGTGCTTACCTTTCGAGAGAAATCAGTATTGTTCCCGTTTTCGCCACGGACAAGAAATCGTTATAAAATCGACGGTTACAAAGGACTGGTTTCTGTATTTTTATTTTCCCCTACGTCACTCACCCTTACGGTTCTTGTAATATTACATAATATATAACTCGATCGAAGCAGATGCTTGAACATTCTTCGGGTAGCATTTCTTTTTAAATCTTGTGTTATTCAGCGCGGGCACGAGGTTACTTTCCACTTTATTTCTTCGTGGACCGAGTTGTCCGAAATGGAAGCACTACAAAAGTAAGAATACCCATTTTATTAAAACACGTCGAACCTTTTTATATGAGTGAATTTGTTTTTACAAACGTCATGTTCTCTCGAACAAATAATTCGTAATGTCACGAGCAATACACTGGGTCAATATTAAAATTTGTATCTTCATGGAATTTATAACAGAAATTCTGAGACAGAACTATGTGCCATTTACATAAATTGATTCGCGGAAAGGAATAATGTATATTAAAGCAAGGATTGCAATTGAAGTAACTGTTCGAATGAAGTTATTCGTTCTTCGGTGTACTCGTGAAATATTCAATTTGTTCTTCTTTTTTTTGTCTCTATCGATTCGATCGAAAGTAATCGAGAGTTTCGACAGACAGGATGCTTGAAGTTCAGTTCGATGCTTGCGAAACTCGGGGCTCTAGAATAATTCATGGAACCGATGGATGTTTCTACAATTCATCCAGAATGACGTTTATCTGAAAATGGTGCTACCGACTGGCGGGAAATTCTGTACTTTTCTTTTTTGTTTTTTGCATGATCGTTTCGACGCACGGCTTGTAGCAACGACCCTTAACTCGCCCCAAGCTTCGCCCCCCATCGGGGCCGGGGCAAAAAACGTTCGTCGGAGAAATTGTAAGTTTAGAATTCAGAAGACAATATATTAAAGTGGCCAGGAGCCTGACAATAACAGAGTTTAGAAAGATTGTACGAAGGAAGATTGTATCTTTGAAAGATTCTTCTGGAGGAAGATGTAAAGCAGCCACGAAGAAAATTTCGGTCTCGGAGTGGGCATAAAACCGTGCTGTATTTCAAAGGTTAAGGATATTAGAGCTTATCTTTACTATCAATTTGAGGGTAGCCAGGTGTGCTTCATAATCGAAATAACTTTTCTGTTCTGTCTCCATTGTAATAATAATGTCAACTTCTTTATAAATTACCTCATCGCTTTTCTAATCACATACAGTGTGAATTTCAATATTTTCCGTAGTTTTTTTAAACATTTTTAAGGTATATTATTGATTTGATTTCCGAAAAAAATGTTGATGTTCCAGTTCGTATCTCCTTCGATCTCAAACAACCTCCTGAGCAAAATTTGTGCGTTTCTTGTTCGATCTTTTTACACTACAGGTTTTTCATTTCTACAATTGACGTTCTTCAAATTTATGAAATATCTGCAATAATTTTACTTTCATTCCTAAAGACCTTCTTGACATTAAAGAGCCTTTTATATCTTTTATTGTCCTTATGACACCTGTCTATTCGAGAGCTTGTCTGAAGGGAGACCCTACAGCAACTTTCTGTCACCTTATGCTACGTGTCCATCTGAGGGTAATTCTGGAGAATAACTACGGTTCTTCTGCCTACATTTTTAAGGGTAGACTTCTATAACTTCAATTATATAAGCTTACATAGTCTATATAAAACTTATAGACTCCTATAAGTTTTCATCTCGAGAGTAACAGCTGCCCATATGTCCATTTAAGAGCAGACTCCCATAAGTTTTAATCTCCAGAGTACAAACGACAGTTACAGGCGAATAAAATGTTCAAGAATTGCTCCAGCGTCTTCGTTCACTGGTAAAACTCCAGTCGTCAATACTCGTGATTGCGTCCGTGCGATTCATGAACAGAGACATCGGAAAACACAATAAAGTCACCGAACAGCGTGGAGAACGCTCGGAAGTTACCGAATCGTGGAGATATTCCTTAAAGAGGATCAAACGGATAAAAAAGTTTCGGGAAAAGAACGGAGCTGCTGTTCTGAAACATTTAATCTGTATGTACCAAGCAATGTGCGCCATTCTGGGCAAGAACCTCGAGTTTCTGGAACCTGGTGCAGAACAATTCGGTGAAACAAAAAATTGTTTCGATGAAAAAACGATCGCCAAACCCAAGCTTTAAGCCAAGTGTAACAGCACCTCCTAACACATTTGGTATTTATCACTTATTGTGAATGGTTGTTACGTCAGATTTATAGCCTTGGGGGAACTTGAAATGACGGAAAACTGCCACAGTTCATTACAGTAGTTACTCCATGAATGTAAATGAAATTCTTATACGTATTAGGTCGAATTTGATCATAGATATGTGACAAACGGTTTTGGATTCTGAGAGATCATTTTGTGGAACAAATTGGGTCTCAAATAGTATTTATTTCCTAATAGAGTATCAAGGTTGAAGAAATAATAAGGGATAACGTATTGGTATTATGTGAGAATTAGTCCATGGTTAGGGTTGAACACATCTCAGCTGACATAGTTGTTCAACTGGTGGCGAAGCAGATGCTAACCCGACTGAATGCGTTGGGTTATCTGGTTATTGGTTTCCCCGGGGACAAGAAACAGGTGATCATTACCAGATATAGTGTTCGCTTCTACTGATAGTATCGAACAATAACAAACCGATGCAATTCAGGATCTGTAATAGGAACAACTAGGTAATTGGAAATACAAAATTCTCTGTAATTAGCCGCGACTAGCGAAGCCTAGGCCTGACAACGATAACTTATCCGAATTCGTAATTTTGCATGTATTTACAAACAATGCTGTTTCCTCGTGCCATTGATCGCGTGTTATTGTATTGTACAATACAAACCGTGCGAGTTAAGAATTTCTTTCGGTATGCCAACATAAAAACGATACCGCCTTTACCGTCATATTCGTAGACCGCATTGCCTCAATTCGTGAAATAGAAGAGAAGTAAAAGGGGACGCGTCCGTTCAGCGCATTTCAAAGCTTTAATCCCTTCGATTAAAAGATTTTCCATTTTTGCGGAAACGTGTGCAGAATAATCGACGTCCTGTCGTGTCCAGGACTTCTTCCTTTTCGAGGTCCGTATTTTTCTGGCTCGGTCGGTGATAGAGTCGTCGCAGGGGGGCTAAACCGGAAATTACCGTGGGTTCCCGACGAATGGATTTAAAGCGTATTTTCTGCAACGCTACCACTCCTAATACAGTTATCCGGGCTGTTTTCTATACGACCTTGTTCCAACCCACTCATGACTTTTACACATTGTGTTTTGATGTACTTCGTAATTTTTGCACAGACTCTCGGCATACAGTACGAGTTCCCTTTGTCTTTGAAATTCATGGTTCATTGGTAGAAGTGATGTCTCGACATTTTATAAACGATTGTTGTGGAAATTTTACAAACCGGTGGTACTCTTCGAAAGAAAGAAAAATGTGTTAGCGAACGCCTGAGCCGAGATGTTTTATGGTTGTGATTCATCAATGATGTATTTGAAATTGTACGTATTATACGTAATACAGTACACATTTTATGAAAAATGATCTGAATGGTGGCTGTTGATTTCAACGCAGGATTCACCAATCAGAAATTCGTAAATATATCAAATAAATCATGGATTAATGCTCGAAACAGGGGACTACTTTGAAATAGTTATCGGTATAGGGACACTATTTCCGCACCTCGTAAATTTCAGGTCGAGTTTTGGTAGCTTGCCTTTGTATTTTACCGACGACCGACAAAGATTAGAAGCAATAGTGGGAATGATACAGAAACATTTAACGTAGAGATCTTTCCGAGCATTTATCGAGAATTTACTGTATATCTTCCTCGCAGTCGCCACAAAGTAAATTCTTTTAATCTGTCCCTGAACATATATATGAACAATTCTCTTCTGATCGTAATTCAATCAACTGTTGCAAAAGTTGAATAGAACAATATTATTCGTGTTTAAGTTTCGGTTGAAATATCATTTTGACTAACGCGGTGAACGGTTAAAACATGAATAAAGATAAAGTAGGTACGCGCGACGGGGAATGAAATTCGCTCGTACACCGGATTGGTCTCCATCCTAAATTTTCGATTAGCGAAAGGACAGAGCAGTTTCGCAGCACCACCGTCGCGAAAATTGTTCGATTTCGCTTGGTATTGAAATCCGGCGTGTTCGTTCCGATCGAAATGGTGGATGAGAGAATGAAACGAAGCGTTTCGCCGTGGTCTGGAAAACGAAATGTCTCCGTGGCGTGTCTGCACGAAAGAGGGTTTAATCGTGCTTGGACGTGAAAAAAATTAAATGATCGGCCAAGAACCGTGTTTGCGAGTTCACGGAAATGGAACGTAATCAAGGGGCAATCACATGGTTGCATCGTTTCAAAGCGAGAGTGTACACTTTTTCATTTATTTGAAAAGGAAACAGTTGGATAACTCTTTGTAGTATACTGTTTCACAGAGTTCGGCACAATTTTATTCGAATAATTCACAGTGAAAAGCATTAGGTACCTCAAAGCGATATCCTGCTCTTCAGCACGTTGACTGCCACTGTAAAAAAGGCCGCACATATCCACACATGTAGTATTTTGTTTTTTACGTCAGAAATCCTCGAAAATGTATAACGTGTAGTTAGTAGAGGCTGCTGGTCTTGTTTTACATTATGCTGCGATAGTAATTTTATGTAAAATTTTGTCACGGTATTGAAATAATCCAGCCCTTTTTGCAATGTGTGCATCACCTATATTTGAGTGACCTTAACCCTGTCCTTATCCCGCACGTAAATAATAATTCCAGTCTTCGTTAAAAATTTCTGCTATTATCTAGTGATCGTTGAATACTTCAACTTTGGACCACCCTGTACAACCACCCAGACAAATTTCATCCACATATCCCACAATAATGACAACTTTACGACTCTTCTTCGGCTATCGACTCCTACCCTTCCGTTGCTTCTCATTTTTCCTGCCTTTTATATTTGTCCCCATCCCATCATTCCCCGGTGACGACGAACGGAACCGGGAAGGATGGGGGGGGGGGATGACGACCACGAGAGGACCACCAGTACTGGTTTCCACTTCTGTCTGCCTCCGTATAGTATTGCGACTCTGCGATATCGGATGAACTTGTAAAACTTACGCAATCAACCGTGAGATTGCATGTGACCATCTCTCCC